AGCATCCTTGGGCTGGGTAGGGCACTGCCTGAAGTCCTCAAAGATCTTTTTTATTTTATTTTTTTAAAATTTATTTATCTTTTGAGAGACAGGGAGAGAGTGAGCAGGGAAGGGGCAGAGAGAGGGGGAGAGAGAGAATTCCAAGCAGGCTCCACACTGTCAGCACAGAGCCTGATGTGGGGCTCAAACTCACAAACCATGAGATCATGATTTGAGCCGAAACCAAGAATGGGAGTCTCAACTGATTGAGCAACCCAGGCACCTCTTTTTTTTTTTAGAGAGAGAGAGACAGAGAGAGAGAGCACATGTGATCAGGGGAGTTGGGCAGAGAGAGAGAGAGAGAGAGAGAGAGAATCCTAAGTAGGCTCCATGCTGAGCACAGAGCCCCAAATGGGGCTCGATCCCATAAGTGCAAGATCATGACCTGAGCCTAAATCAAGAGTCAGCTGCTCAACTGACTGAGTCCTCCAGGATCCAGAACCGAGGAGTGTGCCTCCGGAGGTGAGGTGGGAGGGGAAATAGTGAGGGGAGGAGGGTGGGGAGAAGCAGAGAGCAGAAGAGGACCTGAACTGAGGCAGGGACCCAGCCACACTGCTGGCTGCTCGAGTCCTGGCTTGTCCTTCTTCAAGTTTCTTCTCAAACAGGTGGCCCCTCCCAGGCTTCCGGAGGAGGGAGGTTGGGAGGGCATGAGCAGACACCATCACATGCATTTCTCACACCTCCTGAAACACACAGAACATGCCTGGACAGTCCGGAAGGAATTTCGACTTTGTGTAAGGGCTTCAACCCTGGAAATCGAGTTCCCTTCAACACCCTCGTTGTCGTGAAAAATCAGAGGCTGAAATACTAGTAAATCAGACCCTGAAACTGGGAAATCAATGGTGGTTGGAGCTCAATGCCCCAGAGCAGTTCGGTCTGAGTGATGCCAACGTCTACAGAGAGCTAAGGTAGGAAAACTCCAAAAAAGAGACGACAGGAAGGGAAAGAAACTGGTCAGATATTCAGTGAAATCAAGCAGGAGAAAAACTCGCAGTCTGGCCTGGGTTCAAATCCTGGCCCTGCCCTTTAGCCCCCGGCAGACCTGGGGCAAGTCATTGACCCCCTGTGCACATAAGTCTCCTCCTCGGTTTACAGTAGGACATACCTGCCTCGTATGGTTTGTTTATCCACCACATTTTTACCAGGCACCTAATTAATGTGCCAGGCACTCATGAAATTCAGCAGTGACCAAATTAGACAAAGTTCAGACTTTACAGAGCTATCATTTGGTGGGAGTCGTTTGGGGGATTAAATCTGCAAAGATGTGAGAAGCCTTTAAGAGCCACGCATTGCACACAGTAAGTGCTCAATAAATGCACACCATGTTCCATCCACGCCTGGCTCCACTGCTCTCCAGCTGTGAGAATGCCAGCAGCTGTCAGAATGTTTGGCCGTAGGGGTTCTCTTCTAATGTGCATTGAGGCTCTGTTGTTCTCTGAGATTTGATCTCACGTTAGGCTGTGGGCCTTACAGCTACTACTTCTGAGAACAACACTGCCCCTGCCCAGACAGAGGGCTCTGCTCCTCAAGCCAGCAGAGGTTGGAAATGGTCTTTCTCCTACTTTTTGCCTGAGGGTGCAGGTCCCTAGCACCAGGTGGCGGCCCCCTTCCCTGGCCTCTGCTCCTGGGTGCCTCTAGGAATGAGGAACGATAACTTCTAATTTAAGCATGACCAAGGTGTTTAGGAAAGAGCACTGTCCCTCTTTAAAGAAGGGGCCTGTTGGGGCGCCTGGGTGGCTTAGTCGGTTAAGCGTCCGACTTTCGCTTAGGTCATAATCTCGCGGTTTGTGGGTTCGAGCGCCGCATCGGGCTCTGTGCTGACTGCCAGCTCAGAGCCTGGAGCCTATTTCGGAGTTTGTGTCTCCCTCTCTCTCTGACCCTCCTCTACTCACGCTGTCTCTCTCTCTCTCTCTCCTAGAAATAAAAATAAATAAATAAATAAAAACATTAAAAAAAATTTAAAGAAGGGGCCTGTTGGCCAAGACGGCAGAGCAGCCGTCTTCTCTCATCCCTGAAACGCAGCGTGATGGGCACCAAGCCATTTTGCACACCTAGAAAACTGATCTGAGGATTAACAGAACAGTCTGCATAACTTGAGCCACAGAGCTCGACAGGTACGTTGTGCGGAGAGGTGACCTGGGGGAGAGGGAAGCCGTGGAGGGCAGGGAGCTGTTTTTGCCCAGAGAGGACAGAGAAAGGGAAGAGAGTCCAGGAAAAGCACTCCCCCCGTAAAATAGCTGGAGAGAAAGAGAAAGAGTGGAAACACCCACAAGTGACTGAATAAGAAAGGGAGAAAGGAGAAAGGAGAGGGTTTCAATACCAATAGGACTCTATAAACAGGGGGAGCAGAAACACAGCGCCGTATGAGACATAATTCAGGAGGGAGGTGCCGCCTGGCAGGCTGATGGCTTGGGTTCAGACAGTGTAGAAGCGGGGAGCGAATGGAAGCCAGAGACCAAGGAAGGGTCTAGATTGCTGGTCCCTGAGGACATAGAGTTCTAGTGTGTCACAGTGACCCACCCCAGTAAGCTAAGTAGTGCCACCTAGTGGAGAACAGAGCCATTACCCAGGCCCCATCCACCTGAGTTAACCAAGCTTAGGCCCTAGAGGACCACCCCAAGCCTCTCTGCCTGCTTAGTGTGCAGACTATAAAGTGCTTCATAGTTAGACTTCTCGGGGAAACGATATAATTTCTTCGGATTCCATTCTGTTTACTGGTCCACCTATTCGTTTCTTTTCTGTTTGTTTTGTTTTTTCTTTTCTTACTCATTTTTTAAAAAAATTTTTTAATGTTTATTTTTGAGAGAGAGAGACAGAGACAGAGCATGAGCAGTGGAGGCACAGAGAGAGAGGGAGACACAGAATCCAAAGCAGGCTCCAGGCTCTGAGCTGTCAGCACAGAGCCTGATGTGGGGCTCAAAGTCACAAACCATGAGATCATGACCTGAGTCGAAATCGGTCACTTAACCAACTGAGCCCCCCCAGGTGCCCCTTTCTTTTCTTATTCTTGGATACAGAAAAGGAAAAAAAAAATTTTTATTTTCCATTAAAAATTTAAAAAAATTTTTCTATATTTTTTATTTTTTGTAATTTTTATTCTATTTTACTTTCTTCATTTAATTCTACCTTATTGTATACACTTTTTATTTTTAAACATTTTCTTACTTTTCTTTTCTTTCCCTTTTTCTCTAGTCTATCAAGCTTCTTTCAACAACCAGACCAAAAGACACCTAGGATCTAGCATCCTTTATGTGATTTTTTTTGTGTTGTTTTAAATTTTTTAACTTTAATTATTTTATTTTATTAATTATTTTTCTGCCTCCCAAATGACAAAACAAAGGAATTTACCCCAAAAGATAGAACAGGAAGAAATGACAGTCAGGGACTTAATCAATGCAGATATAAGCAAGATGTCTGAACTAGAATTTAGAATCAAAATATAAGAATACTGGGGCGCCTAGGTGGCTTAGTCGGTTAAGCATCCGACTTTCGCTTAGGTCATGATCTCGCGGTTCGTGGGTTCGAGCCCCGCGTCGGGCTCTGGGCTGACTGCCAGCTCAGAGCCTGGAGCCTGTTTCAGTCTGTGACTCCCTCTCTCTCTGACCCTCCCCTGCTCACGCTGTCTCTCTCTCTCTCCTAGAAATAAATAAAAAAAACATTAAAAAAATTTTTTTAAATATAAGAATACTAGCTGGGGTTGAAAATAGCATAGAATCCCTTTCTGTAGAGATAAAAGAAGTAAAATCTAACCAGGATGAAATTAAAAACACTATAACTGCGATGCAATCTCGTATGGGTGCCATGGAGGCAAGGATGGATGTAGCAGAGCATCCGATCAGCGATACAGAGGACAAAATTATGGAGAATAGTAAAGCACAAAAAAGAGGGAGACTAAGTCAAAAGAGCATGATATAAGAATTCAAGAACTCATTAAAAAGGAATAAAATCTGAATCACAGGAGTTCCAGAAGATAAGAGAGAGAAAAAGGGGTAGAAAGTTTATGTGAACAAATCATAATGGAAAACTTTCCTAAACTGAGGAAAGACATAGATATCAAAATCCAAGAAGCACAGAGAACCCCCATTAGATTCAACAAAAACCAACCATCAACAAGGCATATCATAGTCAAATTCACAAAATACAGAGAAAAGAAAAGAATTATGAAGGCAGCAAGGAGAAAAAGTCCTTAACATATAAGGGAGGATGGATCAGGTTTGCAGCAGACTTATCCATGGAAACTTGCAGGCCAGAAAAGAGTGGCAGGATATATTCAACATGCTGAATTGGAGAAATATGCAGCCAAGAATTCTTTATCCAGGAAGGCTGTCATTTAAAAAAAAGAGTTTCCCAGACAAACAAAAACTAAAGGAGTTTGTGACTACTAAACCAGCCCTGCAAGAAATTTTAAGGGAGACTCTCTGAAGGGTGAAAAGATGAAACAAAACAAAACAGATGAAAAGCAACAAAGAAAGGACCAGAGCACACCACCAGCAACTCCAAGTCTACAGGCAACATAATGACAATAAATTCATATCTTTTAGTACTCACTCTAAATGTCAATGGACAAAATGCTCCAATCAAAAGACATAAGGTAATATAATGGATAAGAAATCAAGATCCATCTATATGCTGTTTACAAGAGACCCATTTTAGACCTAAAGACATCTTCAGATTGAAAGTAAGGGGATGGGGAACCATGTGTCATGCTAATAGTCAAGAAAAGAAAACTGGTTGGGGTGCCTGGGTGGCTCAGTTGGTTGAGCGTCCGACTTTGGCTCAGGTCATGATCTCATGGTTCGTGGGTTCGAGCCCCACGTTGGGCTCTGTGCTGACAGCTTGGAGCCTGGAGCCTGCTTCTGATCCTGTGTCTCCCTCTCTCTCTCTCTGCCACTCTTCACTGACATTTTGTCTGTGTGTCTCTCTCTCAAAAATAAATAAACATTAAAAAAAAACCCTGGGGTGCCTGGGTGGCTCAGTTAGTTGAGCATCTGACTCCAGCTCAGGTCATGATCTCATGGTCGTGGGTTCAAGCCCCATGTCAGGCTCTGTGTTAGCTCAGAGCCTGGAGCCTACTTCAGATTCTTTGTCTCCCTCTCTCTGACCCTCTCCTGCCCACACTGCCTCTCTCTCTCTCTCTCTCTCTCTCTCTCTCTCTCTCCCTCTCTCTCTCTCTCTCTCAGAAATAAATAAAAACATTTAAAAAAAGAATGAAAGAGGAGAGATCACAACCAACACTGCAGAAATACAACTAATAGAAAGAGAATGTTAAGAGCAATTATATAACAATAAATTGGGCAATCTGGAAGAAATGGACAAATTCCTAGAAACATACAAACTACCAAACTGAAACAGAAAGAAATAGAAAATTTGAACAGACCCATAACCAGTAAAGACATTGATTTAGTAATCAAAAAATTAGATGGCTTTCCAGGGGAATTCTACCAAACATTTAAAGAAGAGTTAACACCTATTCTTTTGAAGTTGTTCCAAAAAATAGAAACGGAAGGAAAACTTTCAATCTCATTCTATGAGGCCAGCATTACCTTGATTCCAAAACCAAAGACCTCTCTAAAAAGGAGAACTAGAGACCAATTTCCCAGATGAACATGGATGCAAAATTTCTCAACAAGATAATAGCCAACCAGATCCAACAATACATTAAAAGACTTACTCGCCACAATCAAGTGGGATTTATACCTGGGATGCAGGGCTGGTTCAATAACTGGGAATCAATCAGTGTGATACATCAAATTAATAAAAGAACCACATGATCCTCTATAGCTGCAAAGAAAGCATTTGACAAAATACAGCATCCTTTCTTGATAAAAACCCTCAAGAAAGTAAGGAGAGAAGGATACCTCAAGATCATAAAAGCCATATACAAAAGACCCACAGCTATTATCATCCTCAATGGGGAAAAACTGAGAGCTTTCCCCCTAAGGTCAGGAACATGACAGGGATGCCCACTCTTGTCACTGTTATTCAACATAGTATTGGAAGTCTTAGCCTCAGCAGTCAGACAACACAAAGAAAGAAAAGGCATCCATATCAGCAAGGAGGAAGTCAAACTTTCACTCTTTACAGTTGACATGATACTCTGTATGGAAAAGGCAAAAGATTCCACACACAAAAAAAAAGTGCTAGAAATGATCCATGGATTCAGCAAAGCCTCAGGATATAAAGTCAATGCATAGAAATCAGTTGCATTGCTATACACCAATAATGAAGCAGCAGAAAGAGAAATCAAGGAATCAGTCCCATTTACAATTGCATCAAAAACCATAAAATACCTAGGAATAAACCTAACCAAAGAGGTGAAAAATTTATACACTGAAAACTATAGAAAACTTATGAAAGAAATTAAAGACACAAATGGGAAAAACATTCCATGCTCATTGATTGGAATAAAAAATATTCTTAAAATGTCGATATTACCCAAAGCAGTCTAAATACTCAATGCAATCCCTATCAAAACAACACCAGCATTCTTCACAGAGCTAGAACAAACAATCCTAAAATTTGTATGGAACCAGAAAAGACCCCAAATAGCCAAAGCAATCTGGAAAAAGAAAACCAAAGCTGGAGGCATCACAGTTCCAGACTTCAAGACATATTACAAAGCTGTAATCATCAAGACAGTATGGTACTGGCACAAAAACAGACATTCGGACCAATGGAACAGAATAGAGAACCCAGAAATAGACCCACAAACATATGGCCAACTAATCTTAGACAAAGCAAGAAAGAATATCCAATGGAATAAAGACAGTCTCTTCAGCAAATGGTGTTAGGAAAACTGGACAGCGACATGCAGAAGAATGAATCTGAACCACTTTCTTACACCTTACACAAAAATAAACTCAAAATGGATGGAAGAGCTAAATGTAAAACAGGATGCCATCAAAATTCTAGAGAAGAAAGCAAGCAAAAATCTCTTTGACCTCGGCTACAGCAACTTCTTACGCAATATGTCTCCAGAGCCAAGGGAAACAAAACCAAAAATGAACTATTGGGACTCCATCAAGATAAAGAGCTTCTGCACAGCAAAGGAAACAATCAGCAAAACTAAAAGGCAACCCATGGAATTGGAGGAGATATTTTCAAATAACACATCACATAAAAGGTTAGTATTCAAAATCTATAAAGAACTTACCGAACTCAACACCCAGAAAAACAAATAATCCAGTGAAGAAATGGACAAAAAGACAGGCATAGAAACTTTTCCAAACAAGACATCCAGATAGCAAATAGACACATGAAAACATCCTCAACATTACTCATCATCAGGTAAATACAAATCAAAACCACACTGTGATGCCACCTCGCATCTGTCAGAATGGCTAAAATTAACAACTTGGGAAATGACAGATGTTGGCAAGGATGCAGAGAAAGAGGAACCCTTTTGCACTGCGAGTGGGCATGCCAACTGGTGAAGTCACTAGGGAAAACAGGATGGAATTTCCTCAAAAAATTAAAAATAGAACTACTCTACAAGCAAGCAATTGCACTAGGTATTTATCCAAAGGATACAGGTGTGCTATTTCGAAGGAGCACATGCACCCCAATGTTTATAGCAGCACTGTCGACAATAGCCAAAGTATGGAAAGAGCCCAAATGTCCATTGACAGATGAATGGGTAAAGAAGATGTGGTATGTATACAACAAAGTATTACTTGGCAATCAAAAAGAATGAAATCTTGCCATTTGCAACAATGTGGATGGAACTAGAGGATATTATGCTAAGCAAAATTAGTCAGAGAAAGACAAATATCATATGACTTCACCCATATGTGGAATTTAAAATACAAAACAGGGGCGCCTGGGTGGCTTAGTCGGTTGGGCGTCCGACTTTCGCTTGGGTCATGATCTCACGGTTCGTGGGTTCGAGCCCCGCGTCGGGCTCTGTGCTGACTGCCAGTTCAGAGCCTGGAGCCTGTTTCAGTCTGTGACTCCCTCTCTCTCTGACCCTCCCCTGCTCACGCTGTCTCTCTCTCTCTCTCTCCTAAAAATAAATAAAAACATTTAAAAAAAAATGACTACTCTAAATAAAATAAAATACAAAACAGATGAACATAAGGGAAGGGAAGCAAAAATAATATAAGAACAGGGAGGGGAACAAAACATAAGAGACTCTTTAATACAGAGAACAAATTGAGGGTTGCTGGAGGGGTCGTGGGTGGGGGAAGGGCTAATTGGGCAAGGGGCATTAGGGAGCGCAGTTGTCGGGCTCAGCACTGGGTGTTATATGTAGGGGATCAATCACTGGATTCTACTCTGGTTTTTTTTTTAATGTTTTATTTATTTCTGAGAGAGAAAGAGACAGCATGAGCAGGGGAGGGTCAGAGAGAGAGGGAGATACAGAGTCTGAAACAGGCTCCAGGCTCTGAGCTGCAGTCAGCACAGAGCTCGACGCGGGGCTCGAACCCACAAACTGTGAGATCACCACCTGAGCCAAAGTTGGACACTTAACCTACTGAGCCACCCAGGTGCCCCTGGATTCTACTCTTTTTTTTTAATGTATTATTTTTTTGTCTTTTATTTTATTTTATTTTTTAAACGTTTGTTTATTATTATTTTATTTTTTTAATAGTTTATTGTCAAGTTGGTTTCCATATAACACCTAGTGCTCATCCCCACAAGTGCCCTCCTCCATACCCATCAGCCCCCTTCCCCTCCCCTCCACCCCATCTGCCCTCAGTTTGTTCTTAGCATTCAAGAGTCTCTCATGGTTTGCCTCCCTCCCTTTCCCCCACTGTTTTTCCCCTTCTTCTCCCCCACGGTCCTCCGTTAGGTTCCTCCTATTCTCCTATACGTGCAAACGTATGGTATCTGTCCTTCTCCGCCTGACTTATTTCACTCAGCATAACACCCTCAAGTTCCACCCATGTTGCTACACATGGCCAGATTTCATTCTTTCTCATTGCCATGTAGTGTTCCATTGTATAAATACACCACATCTTCTTGATCCATTCATCCATTGATGGACACTTAGGCTCTTCCATGATTTGGCTATTGTTGAGAGGGCTGCTATGAACATTGGGCTACATGTGCCCCTATGCATCAGCACTCCTGTATCCCTTGGGTAAATTCCTAGCAGTGCTATTGCTGGGTCATAGGGGCGTTTTATTGTTAATTTTTTGAGGAACCCCCACACTGTTTTCCAGAGGGGCTGCACCAGTTTCCATTGCCACCAACAGTGTAGGAGGGTGCCCGTTTCTCCACATCCTCGCCAGCATCTATAGTCTCCTGATTTGCTCATTTTAGCCACTCTGACTGGTGTGGGGTGGTATCTCAGTGTGGTTTTGATTTGTATTTCCCTGATGAGGAGGGATGCTGAGCATCGTTTCATGTGTCTGTTGGCCATCTGGATGTCCTCTTTGGAGAAGTGTCTGTTCATATCTTCTGCCCCTTTCTTCACTGGATTGTTTGTTTTTGGGTGTGGAGTTTGGTGAGTTCCTTATAGATTTTGGATACTAGCCCTTTATCTGATATGTCATTTGCAACTATCTTTTCCCATTCCGTCGGTTGCCTATTAGTTTTATGGCTTGTTTCTCTTGCCATGCAGAAGCTTTTAAACTTGATGAGGTCCCAATAGTTCAGTTTTGCTCTTTTTAAAAAAAAATTGTTTTAATGTTTTATTTATTTCTGAGAGAGACAGAGAGAGAGAGAGAGAGAGAGACAGCGTGAGCAGGGGAGGGTCAGAGAGCGAGGGAGACACAGAATCCGAAACAGTTTCCAGGCTCTGAGCT